AAAGCAATACAATGTTCTCTCGGGGATGCCATTCAGTCATCCCCGCCCCTCCATGTCCCTCACAACCGACGCCTCCAACTTAGGTTGGGGAGCACATCTCAAGGGATTTCAGGTCAGTGGCCACTGGTCTCCACAAGATCAGAAGCTCCACATCAATGATTTAGAAATGATGGCAGTGGAGAAGGCTCTTCGGGCCTTCACACGCATTGTATCCAACCATGTGATACAAATAGTAACAGACAACACCTCTGTCAAATACTACATCAACAAACAGGGAGGAACACGCTCACGCACACTCCTCCACATCTCACAACGAATTTGGGAGTGGTGCATTCGGAGGAATGTCCTTCTCACAGCCATCCACTTGCCAGGCCAGGACAACACCCTGGCAGACTCTCTAAGCAGATCATTGAAAAACAACCACGAGTGGCATCTACACCCCAGACAGTTCAAAGCCCTCACACGCAAGTGGGGCGAACCCAGAATAGACCTATTTGCATCTCCAATAAACAACCACTGTCCCCTCTATTGCGCACGGCTCCACCCTCGCGCATCCCAAGGTTGTCTCGGAGACGCCTTCCTATTCCAATGGTCGCCCGGCCTCCTCTACCTCTTCCCACCGCTCCCTCTCCTATCCCCAGTCATAGCCAAAATAATCCAGGACAACGCGGACTGCATTCTAATCACACCCTGGTGGCCACGACAACACTGGTTTGCCCCCCTTCTCCAAATCTCCAACAACGAATACCTCCACCTCAGCCAAACTCCAGACCTTCTCACAGTAGAGAACGGCCTGGTCTTACACCCAGACCTGCAATCTCTACGCCTAACGGCGTGGAGAATCAAACCACACTAGGCCTTTCTGATGAAGTCTCCCGTATACTCTTGGCGGCCCATAAACCCGCCACCAAGAGATCATATGACTATAAGTGGTCCTCTTTCAAATCCTTTGCTCAATCACTGGGACACAACCCCATCTCTGCACCTATGCCCTTGATTTTAGACTTCCTTGTCCACCTCTCCAACAAAGGTTTCTCCCTTTCTTCGGTGAAATGCTACCTGGCAGCAATTTCATTTTTCCGAAGAAAGTCCGGTTTGCCGTCCCTTTTTCAGGATCATCTGGTACAATTATTTCTTAAGGGCTATAAGAATATCCACCCTCCTGTCTCCCCCCCTCCCCCCAGTGGAGCCTGGAGCTAGTGCTATCCCAGTTATCCAAACCACCGTTTGAACCTATGGCCTCTAATGATATCTCCCACCTATCGTGGAAGACGGCCTTCCTTGTGGCCATTACTTCAGCCAGGAGAGCCAGCGAACTCGCGGCCCTCCGCTCAGACCCTCCCTATGTGAGATTCCACCCTGACAAGGTCGTCCTCCGCACCGATGTCACGTTCCTTCCTAAGGTGGTCTCTCATTTTCATATGTCGCAAGACATTGTTCTGCCAAATTTTTTCCCCAACCCATCCTCCCAGTTGGAGGTAGTTCTGCACTCCCTTGATGTTAAAAGAGCACTCTCCTTTTACTTACATAGAACTTCCGCCTATAGGAAGTCTCCCAGATTGTTTTTGAAATACAGAAAAGACGTACTTGGCCAGCCTGTGTCCTCCCAGGGACTAGCCTCCTGGATTGTTGCAACGATCCGTCTAGCCTACCAACTCACAGGGAAAGACCCTCCATCCCACCTCGTGGGACATTCAACACGCTCTGTATCCACATCTCAAGCATTTCTCAAGGGAATTCCCTTGGACCAAATTTGCAAAGCAGCTACGTGGGCTACTCCGTCCACGTTTGCCTCTCACTACAAGCTTGACATACAAGCAAAGCAAGATGCCGGCTTCGGCAGAGCAGTTCTTTTCTCCTGTGTGGCATGACCCACCTCCAGGTCAGTAGCTTGCTATTCACCCATAGGTGCGCATTTCACGGACGACACGAAGAATAAATAAAGGTTGCTTACCTGTAACCGTATTTCTTCGAGTGTCAGTCCGTGAAATCCGCACGACCCGCCCGTCCTCCCCTCTGTCATGCCATTCTCCTGGCCGCTGTTTAGCGCTAGGAACTAGATAATGGCGGCGCCGCTCGGCGCTTATATCCGGGGGGCGGGGAGATGGGCGGAGCCTATATGGCTCAAAATAATCATTTTTAATTCATTTAACTTAGAAATGTTCCGAGTTTCTGCGCATGCGCAAGGAAGAACCCATAGGTGCGGATTTCACGGACTGACACTCGAAGAAATACGGTTACAGGTAAGCAACCTTTATGTAGTACTAGTGTTATGAATGATGTAATAGTACTATGCTAGTTATGTATTATGTAGTATGTTGTATGTTGTATGTACTTATGACTTGTAAGCCGCTCTGAGTCCCCTTCGGGGTGAGAAGGGCGGCATATAAATGTCGTAAATAAATAAATAAATAAATAAATAAAAATGTACAAATAAAAGCAAGTGCCCATAATGATGCACAAGTTATTTCAACAGCAGAATGAATACATTTCAGAGTTTTAGACCTAGTATGCTATAAAGAAAAGAAACAGGAATGTATTAAAAAATCCCCCTAAACCCCCAGATCTCCCTGTAAATAGGAGGAATGGTGCTGATTCTCTTTTCTGCAGGTGTCTAAAATGTGAGCTCAGTGATCAGGATACAGGCAGAATACTTCAGATGGGGTAAAATTAACAGCACCCTGAAATTCCACATGCAGTCCAAACCACAAGTTTCATGATTCAACCCACACTTGGGGCTTAATGCATTATTTATGAAGATCAATTCACAATCCCTTTTGTACTTTGCTGGGAGATGTTAAAAGCAGGGAACGTTGTGATATTTCTCTCTCTCTTGTGTATTCTGGCATCTCTTTAATACCAAATTATCGTTCAAATCTCCAGAAGTATTTATTCCATTACACCACTGCCTGCTTCAGCTAGCTCAGGGGTAGGAATTATGCAGTCTAGAACCCCACCTCCTTTGCTAGGAAAAAAAATGGTCCCAGCTACAGAACTGCTAAGGGAGCCGGGTGGTAGTTCTCCACCCTGCTCTAGGCCTTTCAAAATTGAAACCACCATGCTACTGCTTTCTGTTTTGAAAGAGCAGGTACAGCCTACAGGACCTGGGAAATGGAGTGAATGGACCCTCCACAGCTGCTCACCTTAAACCCAAGTATTAGAATTCACACCGTTTAATAAAGATATTTCTTGGCATTTGGGCTCATTTTTCTCATAACTTCTTACTCATACTGTTTGACCACACTTTTGCTTCACAATGTTTGTTAATAGAGTCCCCTATGTGTGAGTCACAGAGACCACTAAGGAAGACAGGTTGCTTACCTGTAACTAGAGTTCTTCGAGTAGTCATCTGTAAACTCTTACAACCCCATCTGTCTTTTTTCTTGTCATATCTTGCCCTTCTTTAAAGTCCTAACTGCTGCTTCAGCATCTATAGAATGGAAGGTTTAGGCCAGGCATGGGCAAACTTCAGCCCTCCAGGTGTTTTGGACTTCGACTCCCACAATTCCTAACAGCCCTTTAGGAGTTATGGGAGTTGAAGTTCAAACACCTGGAGGGCCAAAGTTTGCCCATGCCTGCTTTAGGCGGTAAGCATGGTGCTGTGGTACATGGGGAGTGGGTAGGCTACTATCAAAATGTTTGTGTAAGAGCATGCATTGTACAGGCGTATATAAATCCATTTGTTCACAGATGAGAACTCAAAGAATTACAATTAAAGGTAAGCAACATGTCCTTATAGGCCTCCTTAGGAATATAAAAGAATAACTCAAATGGTGCAGCCTAAAATTTGATTTTCTAAGCATGGTTACCTATCGAGTCCCAATACTGTTTTCATTTCCAGGAGCTGGAGGCCTGGACAACAGATTTTGCCCTCCCCACAACTGTATGGCTTGCAGGCTTCTTTAACCCTCAGTCTTTCCTCACTGCCATTATGCAATCCATGGCTAGAAAAAATGAGTGGCCTCTTGACAGGATGTGCCTCTCAGTGGAAGTTACCAAGAAAACCCGGGAAGATATGACAGCTCCACCTCGGGAGGGATCCTATGTACATGGCCTCTTCATGGAAGGTAAAGACTCTCCTGCTATTATGACTAGCCATCGGATGGCTGAATGGGATGCAGTCGATGGGGTAGTTTCATGCAGCTCATCCTATAACTTCATAAGCCCTCTGCAAGAAATCAGTTGATTTTTACTAAAGAGTGACGAACACTAGTTTCACACAAACACCAATAAGCAGGGAGGAAGAAAGGGGAAAATGCTGCTCTGCTAGCTTCTACCCAACCTATTATTGACACATGGCTCTCTCCATACTCTGTACAATGGTTGAAATCCTATTTAATACTGATTGAGCACAACATCCATCAGTGGATTTACACTGGAGGTCAGGGAGAAAGGAGAATATTTTCCCCTCCACTATGTGATGACAGCCAATCTGTGGTTATTTGGGATGAGGAGGGCAGAGCTGCATCTAGGTGGCATTTGGCAGCCAAGGGGATAGGGGGATACCACCTTGGCAACATCAGAGGGAAACTGTACTGTGGTGTAACCCCCTGTTATGCTAAGTCACAAAGAGGATTTGGAAGCAGGAATCTAGACCAAATCTACTTTGTTGTCTTCTATTTATAATGAAACCAAGCCTCTCCCACCCATGTCTATATTTCATTCCTGTATTGTTTCATTGATAGTAGGGATGAAGTGTGGATGGGGAGGGGTTTACTTTCTAGTCTTTTATAACTTCAATGTTTCTGTTGTTTTAAATACCACCACCACCCCAAAAAACCCACTAGAAGTATATAGTATACCTGATGTCCCTCATGAAGCCTAAAATTACTGTTTTCTATTTCTAAAGGCAAGCATTTTTACCAGAATTAGCAGTCTATTTGGCTAAGGGCTTGCAAAAAATGCTTTTGATCAAAACGTGAGAAAAACTATTTTCGAAGTACTTCCAGTCTCAAATCTACAGTAATATTTTTTATCAGATATATGACCACAATAAAGAGTTTGGTAGCTGCTTTTTTTTTAATTCCATGTCAACAGGGGGCAGCACATGCCCATTTTATTCCATCCAGACTGAGAGGAACATTTAAGACCAAGTTAACTGTTATTAACAGTTAACTGCTCTTATTAAAATTTCTAGTTTCAAGGCAAGGAATGTAGTGTCTAGGCTAAAACTTTTCTTTTTAAAGTTATTTTAAATTGGTTTGGAAAAAATAAGTGCAAATGGGCATTATTCTTGTCTACAAATCTAAAAGAGAAAGCTAATAAGAGAGCATGCAACTTTTTGTAACAAAATAACTCTGCTTACAGGCTCAGGGCAGCATAAAATCCAGTGGGGTTTTTTTAAAAAAACAATTCTATTCACAGCACTATAAATACTTATAGAAGTATTGGGATGGCACAAAAGGCACATCCAAGCCAAGGCATTGAGCCTTTAGCCATGCTGCTAATGACAGATGACTAGTAGTCATGCTGGGCTCCCTTTACTTGGATCGGCAGCCGACGAAGCATGTGCTCAGGTGAAGCAACTGGTCTTGAGTTCTTCCTTGTCTTGCTGCAGGTGCTCGCTGGGATGTTCAAACCGGCGTCATCAGCGATGCACGCCTGAAGGAGCTGACACCCTCCATGCCTGTCATCTTCATCAAAGCCATCCCTGTAGACCGCATGGACACCAAGAACATGTATGAGTGTCCCGTGTACAAAACACGCATGCGAGGTCCCACTTATGTGTGGACCTTCAACCTGAAGACAAAAGAGAAGCCTGCTAAGTGGATCCTTGCTGGAGTTGCTTTGCTCTTACAGGTTTAAAGCTTGAGCTGTCAAAGCCATGCCCTCATATCACCACTGCATCCCCCCTTTCCAGAAACAGAGAGAAAGACAGTTGTTTGGAAACTGACAATAAAAAGCATCTTTTTTTGGAAGTGTATCTGATGTGAAGTCATTATTTAAGTGAACAAAAGTATAACTGTTGTACTCAGTTATAGCAATTCTCTAACATTAAGAAGCTGGTCCATTCAACACTGGCTCAGAGTCAGCATGTAGAAAAGAACAGAAAGATCTGTGTACATTGTATTGTCAAAGGCTTTCATGGCCGGAATCACTGGGTTGTTGTAGGTTTTTTCGGGCTATATGGCCATGGCCTAGAGTCATTCTCTCCTGACGTTTCACCTGCATCTATGGCAAGCACCTCTGAGGAAGCCCGAAAAAACCTACAACAACTCTATGTACATTTTTTGCAAGAATCTCTAGGTTCCTTTCCCACTTGAAACTCATAGCATTCGTTGCTTGTATGAGTACATCCGCCATGGATGAAGACTTCCCTGCACGATGAGAGATGAATTCATGAGCTGTGTTTCCCAGTTACATGGCCAAGAGGTTGTGAGCACAATGTTCTGGACTCACAGCCATGCCATGGGTGTATTACCTCATCCAAGCATAGCACTGCATAGTTCACATCACAATGACATGCACTCATGTTGCACAATGGCAAATTGCCCCCCCTCCCCCCATTCAAATTGTGCTAGGAAACATATTTTCTTAGCACCTACAAAACCTGGTCAATGTAAACGAGTCTTACACTGTACTATAAAAGTGCAACTGTGCTTTTGTCACTTGTCACGAGTAGCATTTTAGCCACTGTATGCATTTCCTTTGGAAGCCACAGCAGAGCAGCTACCTCTTCTAATAACCAAGATTGAAAAGACCAAGAAAAAATGTACAGGGATTGTGATTGCTCCTGGCTTCCACTCCCAGCTAGAAAAAACAGACCAAGATTGAATAAGGACATTAAGTGCCCTGTTTTGTGAAACCTAACCTAGATTGCCTCAATATAGAATTTTAACTTTAGTATCAAGTTCTCAATGCTATTAAATTACTCTGGGAAGAAAATAGGAAGTATATCCATCACCTACCACCCTGAAACAGATTATGGAAATCCTATCTTCTTATTGGATATTATGTTCAAGGAACTTGTTATTAATTTGACACAGGACACTGAATGGTTGCAGCACTAAGATGACCATTGCCATGGGAGTTTCCAGAGCAACTGGCACAGTTGGGAGAAAGGGTGAGCCATGAGTCACCACTCCTCCACTCTAAGCTTTAGTCCTATGAACTTAAAAAAGAAAATGTTTCTGCCTTTGGGGTTCTTGACCACCACAGATTCTGCAACTGCCATTGGCTGGAAACCAGAATCTACCTTTCTTCATATGACACAAGGATGTTACCATTTTGCCTAATATGGCGAGGAGGTCTGGTGGACATTCGAATTCTTTGGGGCAATCGCTCCTTTGCTGTTTCAGCTTTATTTACTTAGATTCTTTCTGGGCTTGGCACAAATGCCAGAGTCCAATACACATTCATTGTGCATCATTTATTAATGGTGATAAGTATTTAAACTGTTTTCTTCTCATAGCAATATAGGCAAAATAACATTTTAAGAAAAACGCCACCATTTAACTAAGGAGAGGATGTAAATACATTGAACTGGTTCTGGATTTTCCCCACAAAATACCTTTCTGCTTTTGCTGAAGGACACAGCAGTTTAAAGAGATTATCAAAATGTATGGGAATTATGTATATGTCTTCAAATTTATTGAAAGTGACTCAAAGTTCTTGAGGGTCAAAGTAGTTTCTGAAATACTCAAAGTTGCACATATATATAATGTTGAAACTTTTCCTAGAAGACACTAGCAGACTAATAGAAGATCTCACAACCATTAGTAATGATAATCTGATACAAGTCCTTGGCACCAGGCTTTATTCTTTGCAGCAAAACTAAGAAAATTAACAGCAACATAAGAAACTTACCCAAGGACCAACCGCTCTCTTCTCAAAAGAAGTTCTTAATCAGAGGTGTCACCAACTTCACCCACAGCTTGATATAGCGATTGGGCTGTTCAAAGGTTGAGGCAGAGACCATTCCAGAATGTAGGTAGAGTTGCATCTGTTCCTAAAAAAGTGAAAAAGAGAAAATGTAAAATATTTTTTTACTTTTTTAATTAACAATTTACAACTACAAGGTAAATTTGAACACTAGTTCTCATCATGACCAATAAAAGGTGCCTCACCTCCTATCTGTCATCTACTATAACAACACAAGATTCAGCAACTCTTAACTAAAAGACTCTACCTTTGAGTTGCCCTTAACTATTTTGAATTACTATGCAAGATGCAATAAGGGTCAAGGTATTGTGTATTCCGAAAAGTGAGCCCACATCTGAATCTCTGAATCACAAGCCAAGTTTCACGAACTCTTACTAAAAGATTTTAACTTTGTGTTGTCCTTAACCTTTTTGAATCACCATGCAAGGTGTGACTCAGATTGGTATATTGTATATTCTGCAAATGAGCCCACATCTGAATCTCAGGTCAGTCTACCAAAGCTTTTCAAAATCTGGCATCAAAAGCCTGCTGAGCCAAACCCAAGTAATTGCACACACAGAACCCAACCCACACATGTATACAAACACAACAAAGAGGAAAGCATTGCAAGATCTGGCCCTGCAGTAATTCTTTTTCCCGTAACACAGCCAAACCCTGAGCTATAATTGTCCAAATAGGAAGCCTGACTTTAATCTCTGGAGACCGGACTGTTCATTTCTCTTTAGAAAAAAAAACTCCTAGGCTGCATTTTAAAATGAATGTGCCGTCAAGGTTTCAATGCAGTTCCCAGAAATACTAAGCTCCTTCAAAGTACAAACAAGACAGCTGGAGGGGGAAAGTGAGCATCTCTGTTACAATGGTTACACCACAATATTTGAAAGCAATGCTTACATCACAAGGATGTCTTTATTTCTGAATTAATAAGACAGATTACTGTACACACAGTTCTCTGATTCAATTATGGGACCTCTGCCCAACTTCATCTTGGCTCGCTACACCATGCCTAGCTCCACTCAGTCCCCCATTTCCAGCCCTGGCAGTATGATAGCCACCCCTGTTATAATCTCTCCCAGACCAGATTTAGACCAGGACAGGATAAACTGTATATAGCACAGACAAAATGAGAAGGGGGCTGCTTTTTTAAGAGCAGTGATCTGCTATCATGTATCACTAGGCTGTCACCTAAATTCTTACTGCACTTCCAACAGTTCAAATGTATCTGACTTTGAAAATTCCATTAGGTTGTAATACAATTTTGAATAATAATAATAATAATCATCATCATCATCTTTATTTGTATCCCACCACTATCTCCCCGGAGGGACTCGGGTGGCTCACAGAATGCACTCAGTAGTGCCACACAATACACATACAACAAAATATAAAAGGTTAAATTTTAGCAACAATATTAACCCCATTACACATAAAACAACAATAAAACCCCTATCCATTAAAAATAATAAAAGATCCGACAAGCTATAAAATAGCAGCTATAAGCAATATTCATCCTTGTAAAGTGCAACAGTGACCACTCATTAAGTTTATAAATATAGTGATTCAAAGACACTTCATTTATGTTTTTTTCAGCCTTCCATAAACCAGCATGGATGAATGTGAATTCTAGAGAACCTGAGAGAGAAAATGGGAGCCACAGTAAAATTTCCATTCAGAAGATAGGAACAGAATTTAAAAGGCCTTGTGATGAAATTAATAAAAGGGAATTCAATAGAGACAAATGTTAAAATTCTGTATTTAGACTACAAAAACCAAATGCATAGGTATAGGATGAGGGATTCTTGCCTCTGCAGTCCTACATGTGAAAAGGACTTTGGAATTATTGTTGGTGGTAAGCTGAGCATGAACCAACAGTGTGATGCTGCAATAAAGAAGGCAAATGCTACCTAAACCTGCATGAATAGAAGCAGGACTTCCAAGTCAGGAGAAGTAATATATTCTGTGCTGGTTAGCCCTCATCTGGAATACTATGGTTCAGTCTCCTTCTCTAGACCTCTTCAGAAAAAGAGTGGCCAGCTACCTGTTGAGGGTGCTGTTGCTGGATATCCTGCATTGAGCAGGAGGTTGGATCTGATGGCCCTTTCCAACTCCATGAGTCTATGAATATTCTATCTTGAATTTTCTGACAAAATGCAGAGAATATGAAGGTAGGAGAATGTTTACTGATAGCCACAGAATAATAACTGTCTGGGACGCTTAACCAGAATCAACGCCCTGTATTTAGCAGCCTGCATTGATGCATGAACTTTTCAGCCTGATTGCAGCAAGATTCAAACAATGTTCGTGCCATTTTTTATTTACCACTCCTAACTAGAAGTGTAAAGTGGCATCTGAGACTCAGGATACTTTAATACATTAAAAATGTAAAGCAAACAAATGGACAAAAACTAACAAACCAATCCGAAACCGAGTTTTATTCTACAGGAGCATTAACGTAAAAAAAAAAATGCTACAATCCTAGAGCCCTCATCATTTTTATTAACCTCAAAAAACAATAATCTAAATTAAAGCCCACAAGAAGAACGCATTAAAAGGAAACGCTAACATTTATTTACTGAAAGGATGAGATTTGTGGGAAGGAAGGAAACCAGGAAGCACAAGAAATCGTTATCTCTTCTTACAAAACTAACTGGCTGTGGGTTATTTAAACATGGGGAGGAACAGAGTATGAGGAAGAATGGCAGCTGGGAACAGTGGACTGCTATACTCCTGATTTGCTCATTTCAGATGGTGACAATAATAAAATCAGAGGAAGAAAGCATGCAACTGTGTTACTGGTGACTTTATTTCATCCTTCAGGACCAGCCTGTTCTTGTTATGCCAGAAAATTTCTGGCTTACAACAACTATCTGACTATATCATCAGCATTGTGACCACAAACGAGAGGTCATGCAACCTCCTCCATTCAGTTTTTAATTGCTGCAATCTTAGAGCAAGGTTTTCCTCCAAATTCCCTCATTTCCATCCTTTCACACAGAACTCTGATCAACCCATGAGTTGCACACCTGATGGAACTGCTGCTGCAGAGCTTTGTTTTCTGTCACTATTGCAACTTGTGCTTCCAGGTCCCGATGAACTGACCTGTACCCAAAATTAGGAGACCCAATCAAAGTCAAGCAGGGCAGACTGCTCCCTGTCAGGTACAGCCAGAGACCTGTAGAGAAACAGAGGGAGAAAGGAAGCGTTTCAGACATAGGAAGTTACCATGGTAGCTATTATGTGTTTCAAACAATAGTTTGTTCTTGAAAGGAAAAGCAACAAAGCATTTTGTTAGATTTACCAGAAGTGCAAACAGGTCAGATCTCTCACTAAGCAACCAGGAAGCAGGGAAGCTTCCTTGGAGATAATATCGCTCACTAGGCACTGTGCAAAACTCCAAAGGGAGAAGGAGTCTTACCTTATAAAACCTTTGTAAAATGAGGCAAATCAGGTCATGTTCAAGGCTCTCTATGACAACACACATTCCCCATTCCACATGGTAATTCTAATAACAGTCTCAGCAGCAAAGAGAACTAATCCTTGGGGTCTGTATTTATTCACAGATGCAAGCTACACCAACATTTTTTATTTTACTTCTTTCTGCTTTGTTTTTGCAAAACTATGTACCTCAATATTCTTCAGAAGCTTCTTTCTCCTAAATGAAAAAGCTGAAATGTGCACAGGAGCATAATTGACCAAGTAAAGCATATGTCAAATCTAGGATCTATGCACAGAATACCAATACATTTTCTACATTTCTAAGTGCTGACTATTATTTGTAGTCCTATGTGTTTAGAAGCTGTATTTTTAAACGTTCTAACTGAAATTACTGATTTCACTACTGTTTCTTGAACACAACCAGCTATCTTGGACATTAATCTAGAAAGTAGAAAGAAGAGAAGATATAGTATAGGGATCGGTTTGTCCCTAAAATTGAAGGCTTTCTAGTCGAAAACAATTAGCATCTTCTCTAGCAGTAGTCTTAAAAGATATAAAGGCCATTTTGGAGCAGTTAAGATACAGCTTTTAAAAGCATGTGGTGGTYTTTTTTTTTTTACCTTTTTTCATTTTTAAATAGAAGTATAATCACATTTATAGATCTGTGCATTCTTTCCTATATTCTCATTTGAATTCATGAGCTGCCATTTTTTATTTACTGAAATTACTGATTTCACTACTGTTTCTTGAACACAACCAACTATCTTGAACATTAATCTAGAAAGTAGAAAGAAGAGAAGATATAGTATAGTATAGGGATCGGTTTGTCCCTAAAATTGAAGGCTTTCCAGTCGAAAACAATTAGCATCTTCTCTAGCAGTAGTCTTAAAAGATATAAAGGCCATTTTGGAGCAGTTAAGATACAGCTTTTAAAAGCACATGGTGCTTTTTTTTTTTTTTACCTTTTTTCATCTTTAAATAGAAGTATAATCACATGTATAGATCTGTGCATTCTTTCCTATATTCTCATTTGAATTCATGAGCTGCCTTGAGTTCTAGTTATGGTGGGAAAAGTGGAAATTAATGCAAATAAACAAATTAGCCTATTGACTTGAAACTAATGCTCACCTTTTTTTGGCTAAATTACCTTAGGGTGCAGAATAGATTCACATAATACAGTAATCTTGGAGCTGAACCAAAGCAAAAGGAGCCCCTGGAGGTACTCTATCCTTAATTTAGTGGCCATGGCTCAATGCTATGCAGCCCTGGGATTGTAGTTTAGTGAGGCATCAGCTTCTTTGGCAGAGAAAGGTCCAAGAACTTGTAAAACTACAGCCCCCAGGATTCCATAGTAATGAGCCAAGGCAGTTAAGTGGATTCATTTCACAGCATAGATGCATCCTAAGGTTTTCTTTTTAATTGATGGAAGCTTTAGTGTTTTTAAAGAAGGAATTAGAAGCAGGCAGCAACTGTAATGGACATATTTTGGCCAAATTACAAAGAGTGCACTTTTTGCCACTGTGCATTACTTTTGGCAGCAAATACTTTTTTTTGGTTTCAGAGTTTTGAAAACTGAGGTGCACATTAGATTTGATGCTGCATTCGCCTCGAATAAATACGGTAAATCAAGTAATAAGATTGAGGATAGCATGTCCCTTTCCTGGTTATGAAATGGTATTACTGCTGTGCTATAATATTACATTCTGTGCCTGAGATGAGAGATGTAACAGTCTATCACATTATTTTCCACTTTCTTTTTCCATCCTCTTTACCATGAAAAATCAGAAAGGAATACAGGCAGTCCGCAAATTAAAATATTTAACTTACAAATGACTAATAGTTAAGAACAGGAATGAGACAACAGGAAGGGAGAGAACTCTACCCCTCGGACAGGAAATTCATTCCTGAAAATTATCATGGGGAAAAGGGGGCTCCACTGAAGCTTTATCACCAATCCTTGTTTCCACAGAAAGCCGATTTTTCCAAAAGCCAATCATCACAGGGACAGAAAGTGAGGAGAAATCTTCTGAACAGAGGCACAACAAACACCACAGGGATGTTAACCCTTCCCTATGCTATCCAAAGTGCTTATATATGGAGTTACACTTTAAAAAATGTTCCTGTGTCCAACTTATATACAAATTCAACTTAAGAACAAACCTATAGAACCTATCTTGTTTGTAACTTGGGGACTGCCTGTGGTTCAAAAACATTGATATGGCAAAGTTCCATAATGCATTTTCCCTTTTCTTCATAGATCTTCCTAAATGTTTGGATCTTGCAATACATTAGGAATTGGCGACATAAAGTCTCACTATACTGTTCAGTTATACATGAACCATGCTGCTAAATAAAGCTCCTTCTGTCCTTTAGCAATCTTGTGCATATGAATTAATCTTGTTTCATAATCTATTGTGCCCATGTTTGAACTTGTACAACAGGGGCTGTTCTGCAGCCTCTGTTAACACAAAAAGAAGCCCTTTCATACTCACTAATTTAATATATATAATTGCCTTTCTATATACAAATAGGAATCTTGACAGCTCAGCAGAGTCAGCCTTAGTAAGTACTTGTGATAACTACCAGGCACCATAGGCCATATTTAAGAGAAAAGAACTGGGAACCCTACTTCTGGAAAACCCCTATGACATTCATGAGGTTGCCATAAGTCAAGAGTTGACTTGAATGCACACGAACACACAGAATAATCAACACACGTAAAATAGAGCCTGGTCTACCAAGCTACTAACCTGTTCTTGTAACTCACCATCCCACAACTTTTTCCTAACCATAGATTTAAAAACAAATGGTCAGTGTCCAAAGGTTTGAGCTGTGGTTCATCACACAAAGACAAGCAGAACAGAATGCCTTCAGACATGCTGAAATGTGACTGAGCAAATCACTACATTACTCCATCTCCTACACACTCTTATTGTGGTGTTAGCTTTGTGACTATGCTAGGCTGAATTTGCTGAGATGAAATATAAAAATGTCTCAACCCTCATTCCTTTGAGATGAAATACAAAAATGTTTCAATCTTCATTCAGTTGCAGGGAAGAAGATTTATCTGGGTCCCAAATGATACCAGGCACCCAATGGCTTAACATCCTCCAAGAATACACTTTGTTCTCCGCACAGTGTACCTCTGATTTCACTATGAAGGGTTTTTGGGGTTTTTTATTTGTTTGTTTTTTGCTGTTCATATCCTCATCCTCACTCTTTCAGCTCTCTGGTTTTTAGGCAAGAATAATTAACATCCCACAGTCCTAAGGCAGGAGAAAAGGGTGCTCCTGAACTTTAAATCAACTTGTAAATTTACAAGGACACCATATCTAGAGTCTGAAAACACTCTGAAGGATGCATATGGCAAGGGAGGCAATGCATGGACAACACCCAGTTCCCTAATGATTCTGGAATAACATTCTAGAGCATATTTCAAGAAAGAGGTAAACTATGGGATGACCAACTTTTTTGTTGTAGTGAGAACAAGATCCAAAAGCCCACCTCTAAAATGGGGACCAGACACTCAAATGACATGAGATGCATACTAGGACAAAAACATCCCTCTTAACTACTTCACATATATACTGATAAGATCTGAGCTTGCGCTGACAAATCAATATAAGGCTCTTCGGTTTGCAGAAGATAGCTCAGCAAAAATGCTTACCTCTGTGAAGCTGCTTTTTTAAAAACTTTACACTTGGGGAATAATTTTAAAAGGTGTCAACAATAGAATTATTATTATTATTATAACTTTATTTGTACCCCGCTAGCATCTCCCAAGGGATTCGATGCGGCTTACAATAGGCTGACATACTTGCTGACATACTGCCCAAAAGCTATGGTGTCATCAATCTAGGAAACCTATACATAGTCCTAATCCTAGCACCTACGAGAACGAGAAAAACCTAAAAAAAGAACTGGGAATGGTGCGAAAAGAATGGGCAATTAAGGGCTACACAAAATCGCCTTATGTGAAATAAACCAGAATACAGGTAGTCCTCAAGTTAAGAAAAAGGTTCTGAAGGATTGTTTTTATGTTGAATTTGTATCTAATTCAACATAAAAATTGAACAAGTACATTTTTAAGTGTAACTCCAGCCACACACACACGTGCGCGCACGCACACACGCACGCACACATGCACACACACACACACACACACACACATATATATATATATATGAATGAGGGAATGATTTGGCTAGCATATGAAAGGGTTAGCACCCCTGTGGTGTTTGTTTTTCTGTCTATGCCCCTGTTCAGAAGATTTCTCCTCACTTTCTGTCCCTTGATAATTGGATTCTGAAATATTTGTAACTTGGGGACTGCCTGTAGTTGGAGCGGTTTCTCAAAGAAAAAAAAGGTAACATGGTTGCACTCTATAGAAAAAGTGGATGGAATGACTTTTTTTGCATACTAGAACCTGAAGTCTTTCATTAAAGCTCAATGGAAGGAGATTCAGAACTGATGGAATAAAGTTCTTAATAACTTTAACATTCATGGTTACAAGTCATGTTGATTCCAAGAGACTTCTCATTTTGCTACTACATTAACAAAGCTCTGGATAAGACAGGTCTGCAGTGTGAATTCAGCATGGCTCCTTGTGTGTGTTTTTATCTAGAAACCCCCAACTCAACAATCTGGCAAAAACAAATATTGGTATGGGAAACAACATGATTACTCGGGGCCATTTTGTATTGTTACCCACTGTTACTTCTTGATTTACAACAGGCTTCTTAGTTTTGCAAGATCAGGCAGACTCTGCCACACAACACAAGCACTGTTGGCTGAACTCTTTTCAAATGCCCTGTTTGTTCCATAACTTCCTTCCTGGTTGGAGAAAACTGAACCAGCCTTGGAAGGTAGTGACACTAGAAAGCCTATTTTAACCAGGATTTCAACAGGCGAATCTCCTGCTACTAAAGAAGAGATGCTGATCTGACGCACAATTGAAAAAAAAAAAAAACCTGCTGGAAGAAGGGATCCTAAGACAAACATAAATAGCACTCTTTGTTATCTACACAACCCCTTGCCAATTCTCATCATTGTGGTTACACACCAGTGTATAGAAACATGTGTTTTCTTAAGAGAATAGGGCTTAGTCAGCAGCACTCCCTACAATCCCCATCCCTTGCAAGCCTCTTCCCAGAAGCTCTAAGGAAAGGGGCAGGGAAGATAGCAACATTCCCATAATCGTTAACAACTGCAAGCCTCAGACAAACAAAAGGAGGGATCCCTGGAGAAGTGGAGTCCACAAGGACACAACCTTTGGGAAAGTGTGCACAGCTTGCTGTAATCCAATATATACAGTAAGTGACAGTTGGATTTCTCCACACAAAGGAAAGCAGAAATGCCTAATTTTACTGTCTATTTACTATCACCTTGGAAGTCCTTTACAAAGTTTCATAGAATACACCATTACCCAGCTGCTACAGAGTATCAAAGTTGAAACTGCAAGGGTTATATTTACAACAGGGTTACTTAATCTCAGTTGCCTTTAGTGAAAAAATAGTAAAGATTCAGAATCTCCACCCAAAGGACAACCTTTCGCAACCTGACACTTTCTAGATGTGTTGGGCTATAGTTCCCTCCAGGCTCAAGCAGGACTACTAATCTTGCTCATTGGGAAATGGGACCTAGATCCTAACACATGCCAGTGTAAGGGACTGATATGGAGTATCTCTAGAATTAGATTTCTAGGAAATAGTCCACATTCTAGCCTTGCTAGCACTATCTATACTGAAACTCCCTGAGATGGAAAAGGAAAGGCTGAGGCTTTTGTGTACACAGGATAGGAGAAAATGCTAATCAAGTGACAGGGCTTCTTCTGTCAGGAATTGCAGGGAGATACCAATGAAATCCAATTTTCAGTTTCAATATAAGTATTCTGTTATTGGAATAAGCAAGCTCTTGGAAGTCTACGTTTATATATTTTATTATTATTTGCACTTTTCTTGGCAATATCTCACCTTTGGCATGGAATGTCCACCCATTCCTAGAATATTCCTGCAACTGGACCCTCTCTTGCTGACCCAGAGAGCACAACTCACTGAAAAATTGTCGTTCAATGTAAACATAGGCAGCAGGGATAGCACCGGCCACACCCTTGGCCCCGAAGAACCCATTGACCTCTGGTGAAGCTAGAAGGATCTGATACTTCGCCCTGGTGCCTAGAATCAGGTCCATATATGCTTGTGTGAGGTTGAAGTAACCAGTGGTAAGGTAAACATTGGCACCCCGCTCTGCTTCCATCAGGAGAGTCTCTGTGACAATCTCATCTATCTGAATTCCAAAAGGTTTCATTTGTATTAATGGATAAATCCATGTGTCTGGTTCAGGCTGCCCATCACCGATTGCTTTTCTATCAGTGTTCAATGAGATTTCTCCTTCTGCACCATTTCTGTGGAAGGTCCGAGTGTGCAATTGCTCCTGTCTGGTCCTTGCAGAATTGATCACTTCCATCACTCTCCTATTTGCAGCCGCACAATAGGCCGTTTTGTCTCCTGAGGAAAGGAATGCACAGCAATTAAGAAAAACTCTATACAAAATTACAACATTTAAAGAAACTGAATTAATAGCAATGTGATCCCTTACAAGAAAAAAAATCATAGATGCTAGACAAGGACATGAAGAAAATTACATAGAGCTCAAAATAAGACTGTGGTAAAACAGATTCTGGATGTTGTAAGCTATATCAAAAAGGAACCACTGAAGGACTGGAGTATCCCTTGCTTATTGCTCAAGATGATTTACCATTTATCTGAAATTTTCTACCTTTATGCTCAAACATAACAAGGCACATTATATAGTCTTAGCTTGAATTTCACTGCAGAGCAGGAAAGACCCTCTCAACTCAAACGTGGGTTCTGCCTATTAATCCAAGAATATTCCCATCAAAAGGGTTGCTTTTTTTTCCTGTTACCCCTTCAGCTTCATACTGGTCAGGTTGAACACCAATTTCCTTTTGGGAGAAGATTGAGACAAAGAAGGTGTTGAGTAGCTATGGCTTTCCCCTATCCTGTTAGCATTTCACCACCCTCTCCATGCAGGGGTCCTACCGTTTTCTTTTTCTTCCCTTTTCTACAGATCTAACCAAATAACCCCTTTTTATTGTTTTTACTCTCTCTGGCCAGCCTGAGTTCATTTTGTGCCTTAGCCTTACCAACCTTTTCCATAAATGTTGGTTTTTTGTTTGAATTCCTCTTTGGTGATTCCCTACGCCCCTTCCATTTCTTATGCATGTCTCTTTTAAACCTTAGCTCAAATAAAAGTTGTTTTGACATCCATTTTGGTTGTTTTACACTTCTATTTTTTCTCCTTGCTGGCACCGTTTGCAATTGTGCCTTCAGTATCTCACTTTTAAGAAACTCCCATCCACCATTCACACCCTTCTCTTTTAGTATTCCTGTCCATGGAATGACACTGAATATTTCCTGAAATTTCCTGGAGTCGGCTCTCTTAAAGTCTAGAATGCATGTTTGACTTCTCTTAATCTCACCCTTCCTTTGTATCACAAACTCCAGGAGCCCACAGTCACAGTCACAGTCACTCCAGGAGCCCACAGATCCCACCACTTCCACTCTATTAGTCAGATCCTCACTCCTGGTTAGGATCAGATCCAGAATAGCTAATTCCCCTTGTTACCTCTTCTACCTTCTGGCCAATAAAATTGTCTGCAAGGCAAGTGAGGAATCTTTTGGACTTTGTACTCTTGGCAAAGTTTGTTTTCCAACAAATATCAGAGCTGTTGAAATCCTCCATTACTACTATATCTCTTTTTTCTGCTTGTTTGGTCTTCTGGTCAAGGAAGGTTTCATCCAGTTCTTCCATCTGGCTTGGAGGTCTATAGGAAATACATCTTCTTTAGTCCTTCGTCCCACTGGTTTCAGTTATGCTTATTTCAGCATAACTGCTTTGTCATGCTAAGAGTTCCAGCTCATCCTGTTTATTTCCCATGCTCTGGGTATTAGCATACAGACCGTGGGACATTTCCCCTAACTGTTTGATATTAATTGTTCATTGCTTGGTTCTTGTTGTGCTTGTACAATCCTATCTTTAGCCTTTTGCTTGGTCACTCCCAGCCTTGAAAAACTACTGTTCACAAGGAAAATGTCACCCTCCCCCACACAACCAAGTTTAAAGTCCACCTGATCAGGACTGCCAGTCTCTGAGCAAAAACATTCCTTCCTACTTCTGAGAGGAGCAGCCCATCCCATGCCAGTAGGGCATCTTCCTGGAAAAGCAGACCATGGTCCAGGAAGCCATATTGTTTTTCCTGACACCATCTGTGGAGCCACTTATTCACCTCTACTATTTTTCTCGCTCTTCCTGGACCACGTCGTACAGCTGGGAGGAGAGATTAAAAGACCACCTGTACATTAAGATCTTTTAGCTTTCTTATGAGAGCTTCAACATTCTTTCTGATCTTTTGAAGACTATGCCTTGCAGTATCGTTGGTTCCTACATAAACCAACATGAAGGAGGGAAGGTCAGTGAGCTTGATGAGTCTTCTCAGCCGCTGAGTTATGTGGTGGATTTTTGCCCCAGGAAGGAAGCATATTTCTCGAGGCATCCTATCAGGTTTGCAAATTACTGTTTCTGTTCCTCTCAGGGGGTGTCACCTACGACACACACCTGTTTCCTTTGAGGCTTGACCAGGTCCCTTTTCATGTAAGGTGTTTAAATACATAAGCGGTTCCAACTAGAAAAGCTGGATTCAATATTGAGGACATGCTAAAGCAATCAGAACTAATTCAATGCAAGGTAGAGGCAGCATACATTTACCCAGCAGACTCTGCTGCATGTAAAAAACAAAAATGAAGAGCCCTATGGTTAAAAACAAACAAACACAGAAATCAACTTAAATGAAGGTAGAGCAAAATATTTAATTGCAAATAAAAAGGGAGCTTGTAAGTGAAAATCTAATGGCATGAGGTTTTCCAGGCAGGCTAATTCTGAAAGCCAACACTAGGGAGCCCTTCCCTCCCATGTTTTGAAGAAACTCACCTGAGCAAAGAAACATCTGCTGCTGGGAAGACAGCTGAATTCTCGGTGGTACTTGGAAAATATCTCTCAAGGGAAGGTGACAACCTAGTATCTTACATCTTATATTAGAAGTTCACTTCCTTCAGGCTATAGCAGAAGAACAGTGTTCCCCTGCCAAATGTGGCATGCAAAAAATAATCTCTTGCTAAAAGTACACGTTACTAGCCAGGACATGTGTACTCATACACAAACACTTTAGGAAATTCTATGTTGGGGCAATCTCCCTTTTAAAATTTCCCTCTTAACCATATTTTATGGTTTTCCAGGAAACATCTGAATAAAACATTGCAAACACTATTTATCCAGCAATCAGCATATTTTATGCAAGCTTATATTCCACAGAACACACCCAGACAATTAGAACAAAGGATCTTTTGGGCTTCCAAGATTTCCCACACTACAATGCCATCAGCTGGTAAATTCTTTCCATCATTGTTAATCTCATCATCAAGAAGACATATCTATTCCTTATTGTGTTTGAAACCTTGACAGCCATACCTGGCAAGGAAGCAATTCTAATTTCCAGGATCTAATCTTTTTTTCCTTTCTGATTCAAGAATCACTTCCACTCCAAAGGCACACAGCTCCAGATACCAGGCTAAAATCAACCTTGGGGCTTCTTTGTGCACAGAGATGGCATTCCCCTTTCCTTTGGAAACTACCAGAGAGAAACTTGCTTGCATCTTAAAGCTTAGTGGTACATATTAAGGCGCAGGTTCGCAGCTTGGGTGTGATCCTGGATTCATCGCTGAGCCTGGAGCCCCAGGTCTCGGCGGTAACCAGGGGAGCATTCGCACAGCTTAGGCTCGTGCGCCAGCTGCGCCCATATCTTGGGAAGTCTGAATTGGCCACGGTAGTCCACGCTCTGGTTACATCCCGCTTAGACTACTGCAACGCTCTCTACGTGGGGTTGCCTTTGAAGACGGCCCGGAAGTTCCAACTGGTCCAACGTGCGGCAGCCATGATACTAACAGGAGCGGGACGAGGGAGCATACAACCCCCCTGCTGTACCAGCTCCACTGGCTGCCGATCTGCTACCGGGCTCAATTCAAGGTGCTGGCATTGGCCTATAAAGCCCTAAACGGTTCCGGCCCAAAATACCTAACTGACCGCCTCTCGGCCTATGAGCCCTCGAGGACTTTGAGATCTTCCGGGGAGGCCCTGCTCTCGATTCCACCTGCCTCACAGGCACGGCTGGTGGGGACGAGAGATAGGGCCTTCTCGGTGGTGGCTCCTCGGCTGTGGAACACCCTTCCCGCGGACATCAGGCTAGCCCCCTCCCTGCTAATATTCCGCAGGAAGTTAAAGACCTGGCTATTTAAGAAGGCATTTGATCAATAGTGCAATGACTGGCAATTGACCATAGGAATGGAACACCGGAAATGAGATCGGATTGTGGCTTGACGATGAGACGATTCGGAATGTAGTAGTAAATTTGTAGTAATGTTGTTGTCTGTTAAGATGTTTTTATGATTATGATTAATTGTACACTGTTTTGCACTATGCTTTGTAGATTGTTGTACACCGCAATGAGTCGCCCTTGGGACTGAGAATTGCGGTATATAAGTGCAGTAAATAAATAAATAAATAAATAAATAAGACACTGTCTTGGGCTGAAAAATGCCTGGGCTCACCTGGACGTTGTGTGCTGAAAGAGCATGTGACTAATGCTGTTCCTACCTTGGTAAGGATGCACCATCCCATCCACCACTTTGACTGTGTCGTCTTGCTGTAACTGCAAAGACACATCTCCAACAGCATCTACTAGCTCACTAAAGAAATCTGCAATTTCAGGGGAATCTTGAAGGAACATGTATCGGTCTTGACGATTAGTGAAGTAGGAGTCACTCAAGTTGGCCCTGGAATGGGAAAATAGGGAAAAAGCCATCAGTTAGCTGTAAGGTAGAAACAGTATGCCTTCATTTCGACATTCATTGTGATACCGATCATAGAACAAAATACATTAAAATGTATAAAGGAGTCTAATATATATATAGGCAGAGATTGCCTCTTTAGTCCATCTGCTCCATCCCACTGAGCTAACACGTGAGGAAACTTATGGGGCACTTCCTCAGAAACAGCAACAGCAGTAGCACTGCAATAATGGTAAAACAACACTACTACATATACTATAGTCCCCACCGTAGCACTATTTTGGTGCCACTACCATGATGGTGGAATTACAAGTGCTATGCTGAAGGTAACAGTGCTGCTGGTAGGGTATCCCAAGTCAGGCAGGCTGTTACTGAGGAGCCAGACTAAGGTACCAGGCAGCACATGCTTGTACTGATCAGGAGGCAATGGCAACCCATTCCTGAATCATTTTGTCTTGAAACCCCTATGATAAAACAATCAAAACTGAAGCAAAAAATGGAACATATAAACACTGTGATAATCACAGTTAGTGAGTGAAAGTGGATGGGAATGGGACATTTTGAGTCAGATAATTACACAGTGTTTTACGCAAGACATAAAAATCTAAGAAGAAATTGGGTGGCATTAAAAATGAGGAGAGATGTAGCAAAAGCAGTCAAGGGATGTAATGCATAGTCTAAGCATATAAATGAATCTATAACCAAAATCCAATCTTATTCTATAGTTCTAGAGACAGAAGACTAAGAAATCGAAAGAGTATATGCTGGACTCCAGGAGGAAATTGATCAGACACTGAAACAGGACATGCTGGCAATTACAGTGGAATGTAAAAGTAGGTAACAAAGCATAACCCAGCTGTGTTTGAAAAATTGACCTAGCATCAAGAAATTACACAAGGCAGTGACTGACTGAATTTTGTAAAGCCAATATTTCATTCATAGTAAACACATTCTTAAGACAACCAAAGACATAACTATTTACATGGACATAACCTGATTGCAAATCAGAAATCAAATAGAGACATAATTGAAAGCAGAACATAGAGAAGATCTATTCTCTGTGCAAAAACTGGATAAGATAACATAGACCATGAACTGCTAATATAAAAAATAGAGTAGAAATAAGAATACCGAATCAATGTACCAAAATACAACCTGAAGAACATTCCTGCAGAATTTAAAAATAATGTAAAAAATAGATTTTCACCACTAAGCTGAACTGATCAGAAACCAGAAAAAATTGGACTGAAGCCACAGCACCGTGAGGTAAGAATGGGAAAAAGGCAATATCTAAAATTGAAAAGATATACCAAATTAGAAAATATAGGAAACCCATCAAGCAGTTAATGACAGATGTGGAGTAAAAGACCACAAATAATCCTGCTCAACAACTTGTACACAGGGTAGTGATGTTCTACGACCAGGAACACATTGCATGATCAAGAAAAAAAATGGAAACAAACTATTGAAGAATTATATTAAAGAGATGAAAGGATGACAAATGTACTCAAGAAACAAACATTAGAAGAGGAACCTACAATTTTAGAATCTGAAGTGCAATCAAAGCATTTGGAAGAAATAAATCTCAGCCATAAATGCCCTACCAATGGAGTTGTTTCAAAGAACAAAGACAGAGTCCACTCAAATACTAACAACAACCTGTCAACAAATATGGAAACAAAAATGGTCCACAGATTGGAAAACACCAATATTCCAGTCCCCAAGAAAGGGAATACCAGAATATGCAGTAATCATCAGACCATTACATTAATCTTCGTGAAAGGAAAGTGATGCACAAAATTCTACGACAAAGACTTAAATGCCAGATGTCCAAGTTGAGTTCAAATGAGGATGAGGCCTAAGAGATCATATTGCAAATACATGTTAGATAATAGAACACACCAAATAATTTCAAAATAAATCAGTTTGTGCTTTATAGATAAGAGCAAACCCTTTTGATTAGATAGATCATGACAAACTATACTTCTGTTAAAGAAATTGATATGTCAACAGCATTTAAATAACTTAATGCATAACATCAAGAAACAAGTTCACCTTCAGAGCAGAATATGGAGAAAGAGTAGTTTCCAATCAGCAAGTAGATCAGGCAAAGTTGCAAATTTTTGTCACCCTACTTAACTTGTAACATGACTCACTAGAAAAGACAATGACGCTTGGCAAGATAGAAGGGAGTAGGAAAAGAGGAAGACCCCATTATTGGTGGATAAACTCAATCAAGGAAGCCATGGCCCTGCGTATGCAATACCCAAAGATGCCTGTTGATGATAGGATGACTTGAAGGTCATTTATTCAAAGAGTTGCCATAAGTCAAAATTGAATTCATGCCAGTTAATAACAACAAAGCTGACTAACGGAAGAGAGAATGCTTTAGCCACACTACCTTCAGCATTTTCCCTTTAGGAAAAACTGAAAACGAGAGCTTACTCTAGCAGTGGAGGTTCTCTCCTCAAGATTCAGAACCGAAAGGAAAGCCTTGCTACTTCATCACACTAGAGAATGAATCCACTTTAAATCTGGTTTCTGTCTGCTGGAGAATTTATTTATTTATTTATTTGCTGTATTTGTATACCGCCTTTCTCAGCCAATTGGTGACTCAAGGCGGTTTCCAACAAATCAGTATACATAAAACATAATAGATAAAAAAACATTAAACAGTATAAGACATCACAAAAGCAATAAAAGCAACATCATCAGCGTCTCATTATTCTCAAGCATTGTCCAATTCCATTTTCAGGTCATTCAATTTATTTTGGAGTTTGTAGTTTAGTGAGGCTGTTAAAGGCTCCTCACTAAACTACAAACCTCACAATTCTGCAGGAGGCAGCTACTTGATTTAAAATGGATTCATTCTCTAGTGTGATGAGGTAGCAAGTGAACTGCCTCCATGGACAGACAAGGCTCTCTTCAATGCACCTGCAAGGGGAATGTCTTCATCCAGAATGACACTCCAGAATTAAGCTGTTCCCTACCCTGCTGTTCCCTACCCTTCATTTCCCCAAATATCACAGAGATGCATTCCAAGTATGTCCTGTAAAATCTGGCCAAGGAAGGTAGATATGAAGGCTCCATTATAGGCGTAAAAATTCAATGAAAGAAGCCACCGCCCTGAGCTTGAAAGACATGAACAAGGGTTGTTGATGACAGGGTGACTTGGGATGTCTCTTATTCACAGGGTTACCATAAATTGAAGTCAACTTGATTCCAGTTAACAACAGCACAATCATTACAGACTGCCATATGCTCTTATCTCCTTCCTTATTCATTAGAGTTCACTCAATTCCTCATATGAGCCTCCCCCACCGAATGTTAGCCATTTTTTCCTTGTAACAAGGGACTCACCCACTCAAGATCACATTATCATCAAAGAGATAAACCTTGATATGCTGCAACCCGATGGTCTCATTGAAACGCTCAGGGATTAGGAGTCTAAGAAGACCACGTAGGTTAGGAGTGTGAAAGAGAGAGACACGGACCTGCTCAGGAAATCTCTTCAGGAGTGGAAGGAGCATAGTCCGAGAGTTCTCCTGGCCTGGAAGACAGATCAAAATGGATTTGCCACAGCTTCTAATAATTGTTACAACTTCAAAAAGGTCAGTGGATGGTTGTGCTTATCAAATTGACACGCCTATATCTTCCTCCTACTGAAAAGGCTAAGCAGTAAGAACATCTGCACCTCCAATCCAGTTACCACATATAGCAAGATAAAATCAAAGCACAGCTTGGAAAGTTACTTTTCAAAAGTAACTAAGAATATTCACCCCAGAAGTTAGTTACTGACATAGTTGAAATTTTTAAAAGTAACATTTTATTTGCACATTTTTCAAAGTAACTATATTGTTCACATTTTAATTACTTTAGGTAAGAAACTGTGTATGCCACTTGTGGTATGAAGCATACCCAAGTCTACAAAAACAACATAAAAAATTAAACTTAAACAGGAATGATTTTTTTAAAATCATCTATAGCATTAATAAAAGAATGTCTTAACATTATGCCCTGACCAAATCCCCTCTCTCCCAGCAATACCTAAGAATAATGTACAGAAATACCATTTTAACTTATAAAAACTACACTTAAAAGTACAGTAGTCCTCAAGTTAGGAACATGATAGATACTGCAGGTTTGTCCTTAAGCTCAATTTGTATGTAAATCAGAATAGGTGCATTATAAGTGTAACTCCAGACAAATATATATATATATTAGATAGGATAGGGAACGGTTAACACCCCTGTGGTGTTTGTTTTGCTATCTGTACCCCTGCTCAGAAGATTTCACTTCACTTTCTGTCCCTGTGACAACTGGATTTTGAAAAATCTGGCTTCTTGTGGAACCAAGGATTGGTGATAAAGCTTCAATGGCACCTTTCCCTATGAGAACTCTTTCAGGAGTGCATTTCTCGTCCTGGGGATAGATTTTTCTCACATCCTGTTGTGTCACCCCCGTTCTTAACTATGAGTCAATTGTAAGTTGGATGTTTGCAACTCAGGGACTGCCTTATTATATTGTATTTAAATGCATCCCTCAGAAGGGACAATTGCTCAAACGCTGGTTGTTGAGTAAAAATTACAGAAATGAAAAACATCTTACAGGAGTACTTTGTAATCTTGTACATTTCAATTTATATCATTTCACAGAGACAGCATACTGACAAAACATCACAAGAACAATGTGTCCCTAATGATTCTCAGAAGGAATTCTGTAAAGTAGCATAGTACCCAAAAAAAATCTAAAGATTGTGTGAAGAAGTGGTTTGAGTGCTGAGGTAGCACTTCAGGAAACCAGAGTTCAAATCCCTGCTGGGCCATGGAAACCCATTGAGTCACCTTGAGGAAGTCACTCTCTCTCAGTCTCAGGAGCCCCCGGTGGTGCAATGGATTAAACCCTTGTGCTAGCAGGACTGCTGACCAATAGGTCAGCGGTTCAAATCCAGGAAAAGCAGGTTGAGCTCCCTCTGTCAGCTGCATCTCCCCATGCAGGACCATGAGAGAAGACTCCCACAAGGATGGTAAAACATCAAACATCCGGGTGTCCCCTGGGCAACGTTCTTGCAGACAGCCAATTCTCTCACACCAGAAGCGACTTGAATTTCTCAAGTTGCTCCTGACATGAAAAAAAATGTATCAGGGAAGACAATGGAACATGTCCTCTGAAGAAATCTGGCCAAGGAAACCCTAGGATAAGATTGCCATAACTTGATGTTTAGAGGCATGTAACATCAACTTCACAAAAAACTACCACATTCCTATCTACTAAGAACAATAAAGAGCTCCAATATATTCTGGACTGAGCATGGGAAGAAAAATATGAGAACACTGCTAATTCAAACTTTTGCAAGTACTAATATGAATGGATGGAGGATATAAATGGAAAAATTTTAACAGGATCTACTAGGACAGTGGTTGGCTTGTTTCAATGGTAGCATTGCATAAGTATGATGTACTTTATTTTACTCTATTTATGAATGATGTTATATTATCATGTTTTGTATAATCCTTTATGTATTTTGTGTTGTTATTGTTTATTTATTTTTGAATTGTTTAAGCATCTATTATCATGTATTTTGTTAGTTTTATACTATTGTGAGCCGCTCTTAGTCCCTTCAGGGAGAGGGAGTGGGATACAAATAAAGATTATTATTATTATTATTATTATTATTATTATTATCATTATGAAGAAAATGAGAAATAGCACTGTAGGTTTGACAATTCACAAAGGCACATAAAAGCACTCAATTGTGGTTACATTCTTCCAGCTTGGAAGAAAATTAATTGGATGGCTAAATTCGTGAGTACAAAGCAGGATGCAAAGGTGTGCATACACACATTAAGAGGTGCATAATCCCATTCCAGCAACACTATGCAGAGGAGAGAAAAGCAGCAGTGAGCATAGTACCAGCCAGTACTTAAACACTGTAGTATTCTCCTCCACTACTTAGTGAAAACATTTTAGAGTTCTAGTTATTCCTCTCCAAATTTCAGTGTAACAGTTACATATTTGTTAAGAAACCCGTTGCTTCTAAGTAATTAATTTTCTTTTTTTTTTACTCCAAAGAAGGAAGGAAAAACTAATTTTTTAAGACTCATTTCTAGCTGAGGCATCATCTACACTATATGGTCAGTGTAGACTCATATAATGCAGCTCAATGCAGATAAACTACATTATATGAGATTTCATTGAATATATAATGCTGTATTTATATTGCAGTGTAGATGGGACCTAAGACAGATGTTACTATCAGGAATCTTGTCTACCCCCAATTTTATGAAAGGTTCTGCCTATAATTGTGATTACCATTTGCTATTTTAGAAAGTCCAAGCTTTTTAATTTGAAGACCATGTAAATACAATACTTCTGAGAAAAGACTTATGAAACTCAATTAAGAACACGAAGAAGAAAAGAACCCATCATAACCAGTTGCACAAAAACATACCCCGGGATCCCCTTGTGAAGTCCAGCAAAATGGACACTGTAAGACTGGAAGTCCCACATTCCTGCAAGGAATTCTCCAAAGCCATTTCAATGCAATCCACCTGAAGGAAAAGGAAACAGCCATGAATGCACAAGACAGACCTTGTTCCAAAAATGCAATGCGCTAAGGCATAAGGCATGTAAACATCAAAATCATGAAGTTCACATCAATTTTCTGAGTATATTCAACTCCTTCATAATCTTTCTAATATAACACAGACACCATCATTAGGTATTTATCCACTCATTCTCACCCAAAAGAAGGGAGGAATTAGTAGATTCCACTCAAGTTGGACATAACAAACATATTTACCCTCTTTATGATGTAGCCATAAGGATACAGAGAAAACAGTTTAGATCATTTAATATGCTTATAAAACTGATGCCTTCACTGGGTATCACACCATCATTCCTCATTAGTTGGAGGCGAGATTATGAAAATATTTACACATTATAGAAGAAAACAAATGTTTTAGCAAAGAAAGAGAATGAAGATAAAATAATGTGTTGATAGACTCCTTCGAATAATGGGTACATACTACATATAATGCAAACTGACATACCATATATACTCGAGTATAAGCCAACCCAAATAATTTTACCATAAAAAACTGGGCAAACTTATTGACTCGAGGATGAAATGTGCAGCACCACTGGTAAATTTCAAAATAAAAATAGATACCAATAAAATTACATTAATTGAGGCATCAGTAGGTTAAATATTTTTGAATATTTACATAAAACTGTATGATAAGACTGTCCAACTCTGATTAAACCATTACTCTAACCTTCTTCAATGTAAATGTGCTTCTGTATTCTTCCAATAATTACCATAGCTTATTTAACTATACATTTTGGGGAAAATGCTGTGTGCATATAAATAAGGAAAAGTGAGAAAAAACTGGCACCGAGAGAGGAGGAGAGGAAGGTGCGTGCTACACTGAGAGAGGAGGAGAGGAAGGTGTGCACTGCGCGAAAGAGGAGAAGAGGAAGGAGAGCTGGATTCCTGTGCGGAGAGGTGAGGGTCTTGGCAGGAAAGCATGGGGTTGAAAGAAGCCCTTCTTTCAGCACTACGCCTTCCCGCCAGGACCCTCACCCGAGGATAAGACGAGGAGGGATTTTTCAGCCTTAAAAAAAAAGGCTGAAAAACTAGGTTTATACTCGAGTATATACAGTATCTTTAGCGCATACTGGCTGCTACTGGAGATAAAAGCAGAGAACAGCAAAGTTAGGCATGAAAAGCCTAATGTTAACTTTACAGTGCTATAATGAGAATGCGAAATGCTAGCTTTGTAGCACTACAATGCATTGCTAATGCTACCATGAAAACCTCTTAATACAAAGATAAGTAGAATAGAGAAAGTCACCCCTGTGAAATAAGAGACAAAGGACTATCTTCAAAAAAATTCTACATTTAGGGTATCTCTTTACCTCATCTCAACAACCTACAGCCCCTTCCTTGCACTTACTAGTTCCTGTTCCAGAGGCCCTGTTCCAAGGTACAGCGAAGCCAGAACTATTCGCTTCTTGGCCATCTTAATCTGTCTCTGAAAAACACAATGAGAGGGAGAGAGAAATTTAGATTCCTTGTCTATCAAATGAAACACCCAAAGAATACCCAGTCAATATTTAATTTATATGTGAAAAGTGATACGAATTAAGCATATCCAAGAGGAAAAACTATTACTAGTAATTCCTGCCCAAAATTAAGTTGAGGGCAGACACTGTTATTCACCTGTAAAAGGCAGGCATGTTGCAAATGCATAACCCCTTCTGTGGAAGAGCAGGTACAAAAAAAGACAGACCATACTATAACAATTTTCTCAATTGTCCCAGTGCTCTGAATCAGTGCATGTGCTCTGATACTAAATCACAGGCCCACCCCTATATTTTTCATTTCCACATATAGATCACATTAATATAATCTGAGAGGAAAAGATTTCTTCTTATCACATGCTGATCCTACCCTGGATTTCGAGGAATGTGTGGTTAGAAGAGGACTGTCATACTGACCTATTTACAATGGGTAAGTTTTTAAAAAATAATAATGTTGATCCAGAAGTTTGAGAAAACTCTTTTAGACAGTACAATACAACTATGCATGTCTGAAATCCTGAGCTGTGATTTCTGATGTGGTGAGATAAAAGTGGTGATATGTATGCAGAATGAAAAGGCTGTATTTTTAGATCTATATTCTGCCGTTGGCATCCTCATCTCACAAATACTAGAGATATAAAATTACCTTCATAAGTTCATAGAATTCTGTTGGAGATGAAAGCACCTTGACATGAGAGCTGGCAATTCCAAACTCTGGGACCAAGTTTCTGATCCACTGAAATCTATGTGATCCCTCTGAGCAGACTGAACAAGGTGGGACTGTTAGTTGAGGAACAACAGGAGAGAGTAGTGGAGCCAAAAGCAGCCATGATGACCTAATAAGAGAAAGATGTGGGTTTAGTTGCATACATAAAAGTACTACTTCCTCTCAACTGTCTCCAGGTGTGTGAGCACGGAGAATAGTCAAAGCATTACACATCTGCCTTTCAACTCCATTAGTCACAGCTAGGTCATTTCTGCCAGGAAGGGAAACACCACACCAAAGCGCAAAGAAAGGCGGGCATCTGGTGTGAATGTCAGTAACTTCTTAGAATGGCTACAGCACAGAGGTTATGTGGAAACTAACAAACCTGATCAACAGCAGAAAAAGGCACTGCAAGAAAAACAGCAATTAGAGTAATAGTATCTACGCTTTTCAGTTTGCACTTATCACTCCATGGTCCAGTTGCTAAAAGAACATTGTTTTGGTGGGCTTATTTTTCAAATTATTATTATTATTGAAATCTAGTTAACTTGGACACAGTAGTCCACGCTCTGGTTACATCCCGTTTAGACTACTGCAACACTCTCTACATGGGACAGGCCCGTAGCCAGGATTTCGATTCGGGGGGGGGGGGGGGGGAATTTTTTTTCAGGATTTCGTTTTGGGGGGGGGGTGAGTTTCGGGGGGGGGCTGAGTCTGAGTGAAAGAGGGTCTAGCCTAGCAAACCTTTTGTATCATTACCCCAATACCCCCATGCATATGGGATATATTGAGTATGGTGATCAGATCATGAAATGAATAAACATA